CGCGCGGCAGCGGTGGCGCGCGGGGCGCGTCAGGGGTCCCGCATTGCCGCCGAAACGGACGAGAAGGCTTCAACGCGGCGCCGAAGCGGTCCAACGCGCCCCCCCGAGACGGCTGAGATGGCTCAGCGTGGCTCCTCCTGCTGCTCTTCCTCCTCCTCTCCTCCTCCTGCTCCTCCTCGTCCTCCTCCTCCTCCTCCTCCTCCTCCTCCTCCTCCTCCTCCTCCTCCTCCTCCTCCTCCTCCTCCCCCTCTCCCCCCTCCTCCTCCTCCTCCTCCTCCTCCTCCTCCTCCTCCTCCTCCTCTCCTCCTCCTTCCCCCCTCCTCCCTCCTCCTCCTCCTCCTCCTCCTCCTCCTCCTTTTCCTCCTCCTCCTCCTCCTCCTCCTCCTCCTCCTTCTGCTCATCGTCCTTCTCCACCCCCTCCCAGACATCCGACGTCTTGGTGAGATCAATGCGCGGCCCCTGGAGGCCCCGACATATCAATAGGACAAATTGCATCGCGGGTGTTCGTCTGACGACCCTCTCAGAACCCCCGAAAGGCGAAAGCGGCGACAACCTTCCGCCTTGATTTCGGGCGCATCCCGAAGTTGTTTCTCGCGAGGCAAGCTCCGACAGACTGGCAGACTGACAGATTAACGGATTGAGCGAATGACTGACTGACTGACTGACTGACAAACTGACTGGTCGCACCCGTTACGCGGCGGTTTCCTCTTTCGGCCGTCGAGGGCGCGACCGCGGCGAAACCAATCAGAGGCGGTTGTAATCGGTGCTGCTGAGGGCGCAACAGATGGCGCAACCAATAGCAGGCGGTTTTATTTTCAGCCGCCGCCGAAGGCGCGGCGCAACCTACGGCGCAGCCGATATGGGGCGGGTTCATTCCCGGCCGGCGCCGAGGGCGCGACCCATGGCGCAACCGATAGGAAACGGCATTACTCTCGGCCGCCGAGGGCGCAATCTATAGCGCAACCAATGGGAGACGGATCTATTCTTGGCCGCCGAGGCCGCAACCTATGGCGCAGCCGCCAAGTGACGGGCTAATTCTCGACCGCCGAGGGCGCAACCATGGCGAAGCCAATAGGAGACGGGTCTATTCTCGGCCGCCGAGGGCGCAACCCGCGGCGCAATCAACACCAGGCGGTTTTATGTTCGGCCGCCGAGGGCCTTTTTAAGGCGCAGCCAGCAGCGTGCGGTTTTATTCTCGGCCGCCGGGGGCGCAACCCATGGCGCAATCGATGGGCGGCGGTTTTACTTGCAGCCGCCGAGAGCGCAACCCACGGCGCAACCCGTTGAAGACAATTTGACTCTCGGCCGCCGATGGCGCAACCTACGGCGCAACCATAAAAGGAGACGGCTTTGTCCTCTTGCACAGGGCGACTGGAACCCCGACAATTCTATGTCGCGTCGCCCACCCCTCAGCCCCCAGCTCTTCCCCCAGCGGCTCCCTTTCTTTCGCCGCCTCTCTGTTCCCCGGCGGCCGAGTGCCCCTCTTCCCGACCATTCATTACATTTCGCGTCGCGCCGCCCCCCCCCCTCCTCCAGCCCCAGCTCTCTCCCCAGCGGCCCCCTGTCCTCGCCCCCCACAACCGAGCGCCCTCCCTTCCCCCCCCGCCCCCGCCGCATTATTTTGCGTCGGCCCCCCACCCCGCCCGCTCCCCTGCCACGCCCCCAGGGCCCGCCCCCTTGTGTTTTCCTTTGTTCATCCTTTCCCTCTCCTCTCCTTCCCCCATGCGCAAGACCCACGGCGCGCGTTCCGTTTGTTCTCGGCCGCCGAGGGCGCAACCCATGGCGCAATCAAAAAGAGACGGGTACAGTCTCGGCCGCCGACGGCGCAACCCACGGCGAATCCAATAAGAGACGGGCTCATACTCGGCCGCCGAGGGCGCAACCTATGGCACAACCAGTCGGGATGCGTTTCATCATCGGCCGCCGAGGGCGCAACCTATGGCACGACCGACAGGAGACGGGTTCTTGCTCGGCCGCCGAGGGCGCAACCTATCGCGCAACCAATCGGACGCGGTTATATATTCGGTGGCCGAGGGCTCGACGACCGGCGCAATCAATAGGCGATGTCTATTTTCTCGGCCGACGGAGGGGAACGCGAACACTTCGAGGACGATGCCGACGACTAGCGACGACGAAGACGACGACAACCACGACGACGACGGCGACGGCGACGGCGGCGGCGCGGCGAAGGCGCCTGCTGCGACAACGACGACGACGACGACAGCGGCGGCAGCGACGGCGGAGACGAGGACCGCCGCCGCCACGACGACGCCAAAGGCAACGACGAGCACTCCGACCCGGCCAAACCTGGCTGGACATCCACATGCGCGCGGGGGCCACGTCCGATTCGTGTTCGCTGTTTGGGCTGGCGGCGACGTCCACGCGGCGAGCTTTTTTTCCCCCCTTCGAGACGTTGGATGTCTGGGCTCATCGCCCCTCTTCCCGTCACCCCTCCCCCCTCTCCTCCTCTCTCTCTCTTCCCCTCCCCGCTTTCCCCCCGCCCCCCCTCCCGTCTTCGTCGTCGTAGACGTCGACGTCGTCGTCGACGTCGTCGTCGTCGTCGTTCTCCTCCTTCCCGCCATTGTCGTCGTCGCCGTCGCCGTCGTCCTCGTCGCAATCGTCGTCGTCGCGGACGCCGTCGTCGTCGACGTCGTCGTCGTCGTCTTCGTCGCCGTCGCCGTCCTCATCGACGTCCTCGTCGCCGTCGTCGTCGTCCTCGTCGCACTGGCCGTCGTCCTTGCCGCCCTCGTCGCCGTCGTCGTCGTCCTCCTCGAAATCGTCGTCGCCCTCCTCTTCTTCGTCGTCGCCATCCTCGCTCTCGTCGTCGTCGCCGTCGTCGCAAACATCCCCGTCCTAGTCGTCATCGTCGTCGTCGTCGTCCTCGCTCTGGCCCTTTTCATTATCGCATTCGCTCCCGTCGTCGTTGTCGTAGTCGCCCCCGTCAGCGTCGCCCCCGTCCGCCGCGGCGCCCCGCCGTTGCTCCATGGAATCAATTTTCTTGCGAACCCGACCCCGTAAAGGACCACTGGGATGCATTTGCGCGGGCCCCCGGGGGCCCAAAACTATGTGATTTCTCGTACGGCATGGTTCTAGTTTGAATTGAGAATGCACAATGTGAATGAATTTTTCCAATTTGAGAACGATTTGAGAACAATTAGAGAAATGTTTCTCAATGTTTTTCCAAATTGTTTTCAAATTGAGAGAATTGCTGCAAACTGGGAAACCTTTCCTCCAATTTGAACACTGCTTTTCCCAAAATCTTATAGCTTTCGGCCCCCAGGGCCCACGCGAATGCATTCCAGTGGTCCGTTCGGGGTCGGATTCGCAAGAAAGTTGGCTCCGTCGAGCGGCGCTGGGACGCCATTGTGGACGGCGACGACGACCACGGGGACGACGGCGACGACGACGTCGAGGACGGCGAACACGACGAGGACGAGAGCGAGGACGACGACGACTAGGACGGGGACGTTTGCGACGATGACGACGACGGCGACGAGGACGACGACGAGGATGAGGACGACGACGAAGACGGCGACGACGACGACGGCGATTGCGACGAAGACGAACACGCCGGCGACGAGGAAGAGGAGGAAGAGGACGGCGACGATGAATGCGACGAGGGCGACGACGGCGACGGCGACGGTGACGAGACCGACGACGACGACGAAGGCGTCGACGACCGCGACGTCGACGACGACGGCGACGAGGACGACGACGAGAACGTCGAAGACGACGACGGTGACGACGACGACGACGGCGACGACGGCGACGACGGCGAATAAGACGACGAAGACAGCGACGACGACGACGACAGAGGTGGGGAGAAAGAGGAGAGGGGGGAGGAAAATATACGAGGACGGGGGAGGGGAGCAGAGCGGGGAGAAGAAGAGGGAGGGGGGGCGAGGAGGAGGGACGATGAGCCCAGAGACCCAACGCCTTGAAAAAGCAATGCGGAAGTCTGTCCCCGCACATCGTATCCGGGGGCCCTCAGCGGGCCCAGGGCCGCCATGCAACGACCGTGGATGAAATCGCGAGACAGCTCGCCGCTAGGCCCCGCCGCCAGCCCAAACGGCGAGCATAAATCTGACGTGGCCCCGCGCGCACTTGGATGTCCAGCCAGGCTTTGCCGGGTCGGCGTGCTCGTCGTCGCTTTTGGTGTCGTCATGGTGGCGACGGTCTTCGTCCCCGCTGGCGCCGTCGCTGCCGCCGCTGTCGTCGTCGTCGCAGCAGACGCGTTCGCCGCGCCGCTGCTGTCGTCGTCGCCGTCGTCGTCGTGGTTGTCGTCGTTGTCTTCGTCGTCGTTCGTCGTCGTCATCGTCCTCGCGCTCTTCGCTTCCCCCCCCGTCGGCCGAGAATACAAACGTCGCCTATTGATTGCGCCGAGCGTTGAGCCCTCGGCCGCCGAGAATAAAACCGCCTCCTGTTGGTTGCGCGATAGGTTGCGCCCTCGGCGGCCGAGAAAGAACCCGTCCCCTGTCGGTCGTGCCAAAAGTTGCGCCTTCGGCGGCCGATGATGAAACAATTTCCTATTGGTTGCGCCATCGGTTGAGCCCTCGGGCGCCGAGGATAAAACCGCCCCCTATTAGCTTCGCCGTGGGTTGCGCCCTCGGCGGCCGAGAATGAACGCGCTAGGCTACGTCATAGGTTGCGCCCTCAATAGCCGAGAATAAGTGGCGCGCGCGCCATGGGTCTTGCCCGCAGGGGAGGGAGAGGGAAGGGAGTCGAAAAGCAAAGCAAAACGCGAAGGGGCAGGCCCTGGGAACGCGACAGGGGGGTGGGCGGGGGGGGCGACGCAAAATGATGCGGTCGGAGCGGTTGGGGGGGGGGAACTCGGCTGCCGGGGGAGAAAAAAAAGGGCCGCTGGGGATAGAGCTGGGGGCAGAGAAGGAGGAGGAGGAGGAGGAGGAGCGATCAGGAGCGATCAGATGAAAGGACAGCGTACGTCCACAAACGGCGCCATGGCAGAGGGAAGGCCGGGGTGCAACTGGAGCAGAGAAACCTCCTTTCCTCTCCAGCTCAGCCGTCCACGCCGAGCACGCCGACGGGGGTTACGGTCCCCCACCGTCAGACGTAGAGCGACCTCTTAGCGAAGCCGAAGTCGCTAGGGGAATAGCGGGCCCCCACCGCCTGAACCAGCCGGGTACAGCACCACGAACTGGCCGAAGAGCGCCGCGGCCGAGTCTTAGTCAGGGTGCTCGGTCTTGCACTCTTCGTCGCACAGGAAGGCCCTCGGGTCCAGGTCGCCCTCGTCGAACGCCTCCTGGATGGCCTTCGCATGGGCCTCCTTGGCGCACTCGAGCTGCGCCTCCAAGTTGATGATTTCCATGGCCCACTTCTGGATGTCGCGGGTGAACTCCTGCCCCGCCCTGCAGCCCAGCTGGTCGGAGAGCGCGCACGTGACCTCGTCGACCTTCTCCACCTGGGAGGGGGCCTCCACCACGGTGCCCTCGGACCCAGTGTCGAAGAGGTTCGGCTCCTTCTGGCCATCGCACTCGGCCTCCTGCTGCTTCCACGCCTGCTTGAGCTTGTCCTTCTTCTCCTCGAGCTTCTCCTTCTGGATGCAGCCGTCCTCGATCTTCGTCGCCCGCTCGCGGCACTCCTCGTCCGAGACTTGGCTGCTGGTGGCGGCTGCACGGAGGGCCGCACCAGCACGGTGCCTGCCTCTCTGTCGCCGCTTCGCCTCCTTGCCATCCTTCGGCAAGGCCTCCGCTCCTTCCCCAAAGAGCGCGTGCTCGGCCACGTTCCTGATGGCCTTGTCCTCGCCCGTGAGGCGCAACGGCTCCACGTCGTGCGCTGCGCGGACCTTCGCCGCGATGACGGGCTTGATCATCCCCATCCTGGCGTCCACCTCCTCCAGGACCTCCTTCTCGTCAGCCTCCTGGGCAGACGCAGCGCGACCCGCGCGCCACAGGGCGACCGCCGTGGCCGCCACCACCTGGCGGGAGCCGCCCGCACGAACCACCGCGCCGAGCAGCGCCTCCGCCATTGCATCGGACATGGGAGGAGCAGAACCGCGGCCAGCTCAGCCTGGGCAGGCGAACAGGCTCTTGAGCCAAAATGGCTACGGAGGAGGAGGAGGAGGAGGAGGAGGAGGAGGAGGAGGACGAGGAGGAGGAGGAGGAGGAGGGGGAGGGGGAGGAGGAGGAGGAGGAGGAGGAGGAGGAGGAGGGCGAGGAAGGAGGCGGGGCGACGCGAAATAAAGCGGCCAGGGCGGGGGCATTCGGCCGCTGGGAACAGAGGGGCGCCGAAGACAATGGGGGCCGCTGAGGGGAAAGCTGGGGGCAGAGGGGTGGGCGACGCGAAATGCGGTAGTCGGGTGTCCGGTCACCCTGTGCAACGAGGGCAACCGTCTCCCATCGGTTGCCCCGCAAGTTGCGCCCTCGGCGGCCGAAAATGAAGCAGCCGCTTATCGATTGCGCCGTGGGTTGGGCCCCCGGCGGCCGAGAATAGAACCGCCGTCGATTTCTCGCGCCGTAGGCGGCGCCTTCGGCGGCCGAGCATAGAACCGTCTGCTGTTGGTTGCGCCAGCGGTTGCGCTCCAGCAGTCGACAATATGGGCCCGTCCCTTATTGGTTTCGCCTGGTTTCGCCCGCGGCGGCCGAGAATGGTCCCGTCGTTTTTGTGGCTGCGCCATAGGTTGCACACTCGGCGGCCGAGAATCGTTCCGCCTCCTATTGGTTACGTCAAAGGTTGCGCCCTCGGCGGCCGAGATAATTCCGCCTCCTAGATAATTCCGCCTCCTATCGATGGCGCCATAGGTCGCGCCCTCGGCGGCCGAGAATAAAACCGTCTCCGATTGTTTGCGTCATGGGTTGTGCCCTCGGCGGCGGCTGAGAATAGGGCCGCCCGCTATTGATTGCGCCGTTGGTTGCGCCCTCGGCGGCAGAGAATAATACCGTCTCCTGTGGGCTGCGCCATCGGTTGCGCCTTCGGCGGCCGAGAATCTTATGGGTGGATTCCCGACGCAATTTTATGTTGGGAAAAAAGCCAAAGTAGGGCGGATCCGGAGTCAGGGAGGTCTGGGGCGGTGACTTTACGTCGGGCATGTCCCTCTACAGGAGGGATATCCAAAAATAGTTGAAAAATGGTCTGGGGACGATGTTTCTATCATTTATATTTTCATTTACCTTGCCAACTTTTCGATATTCTTGGCACTCTACATCTTTCACACAAAAATCCGCCTGTAGGGGGTCGGACATGCCCGACCTAACGGTGGCTCCGAGCGTCGCGGGGGGGGCGCGGCCCGGCCCTGGCGGGGTGGCAGGTCCTGGCGCCCAGAGCCCCTTGGATAGCCTCCGGAGCTCTTTGGAAAGCCCCCAGAGCCTTTCGGAGAAGCTCCAGAGCCCCTGCGCGAAACCTGAAGGGCCGTGGGAGACACTTCGAAGCTGAGCTGGAAAGCTTGGGGGCCAAGGGAGGCTCCGTGGCCACTTGGAACCGTCTTGGGGCGGTCGTGGGTCGAAGAAGAAACATAAGAACGCTTTAAACAGAATGAACTTGTGGAGCTCAGCGCGGATATCTTGGATCGGCGCCGGAGCCCCCTGGCGGCGCCTCCGACGCCGCGGGTGTCCAGAGCAGATCCAAGAAATCCGCGCGGCCCGTCAAACGCTTATGTTTATGCAGTTGTTGCTGCTCCTGGTTAGTGTGTTCTTGGAGGCATGTTGGAAGCTCTATTGGCCCATCTTGAGCTATCTTGTGCGATCTTGGAGGCCTTCTTGGTCTCACTTTAAGCCGTGCGCGTCCCTCTACAGGAGGAACATCCAAAGATAGTCCAACAAAAGTCTGGGGACGATGTCTCGAATCTGACTTACCATGTTTTTGTTGTTGTTGCTATTTTTCGTTCTTCGTCCAACATCCGCCTGTAGGGGGACATGCCCGACCTGACTCTCGTGGCCCCCAGACACCCAGCGCCCCGAAGAGTTCTTCGAGAAGGAACCGACGACGCCACGTGTGCAGCAGGCACGCGAGCTCGGCACGCTGCGCAGGCCAAGCGCCCGCGCGCGTGCCGGGGGGGGGGGGGGCAGCGGGCAGCACGAGCCCGCTGCCTCGAGACGAGGCAGGGCGGAGGGAAGCGAGGGAAGCGAGGGGAGAGGAGAGAGGGGAGGCACGGAGGGGGGGGGAGGGGGACGCACAAGCAGGAGCCCGGGAGACGGAGAACCAGATCTCGTGCCACGTCTGTGTGTCGTCGTTCTCGGCCTCGGAGGGCCCCTCCCAGGTCCCCGGAGCCGTCCAAGTTCATCTCGGGACGGAACGCCCGCCCCGGGGAGAGGGTCCGCGTTGAGGAGAGCGATGTCCGAAACGAGAGATCACAAATTTTTAGCATGTGTTCCTCTGTCCCTTCTCCGTCAGCGTCTGTGCCATATTGTATACATGTTGCTCATTTCTAATCATTCCAAGGTTCTTTGATTGTTGTTGGGGGGCCAAGATCCTTTCATGTCTACTTGTTCCATCCTGGGCCTCTCCCTGGCCACTATGGAACCTGGAACAAATAGAAACGAGCACAATTAGAAATGAGCACGATGAGAGATTAACGACGTGTAGTATCGATGCACGTTTCACCCAATGTGCACACGCGTCCGTCAAGGATGCCAGGCTACAGCCGGTCAGCCAGCCAGTTGCAACTTGAAAATTTAGGCATCGGATTGTCTGGGCCTGGTGTGAGCTTCCCGAGTCCACCAGCCATGCGCAGGCGTGGCCCTTCGCCAGAGCGACCTTTGGTGTGGGCCCGCAGAGGTCCCCCCAGCACTGGCTGGCGCGCTTGCCTCCCCCCCCCCCCCGCCCGCACCCCTCCCCCCCACTCCCCAGCAGAGGACCCCGAGAGCCGCGCACGCAGGGTCATGCTTTCCTTAAGTCGGGCATGTCCCTCTACAGGAGGAAGGTTCAAAGATATGATACTGGAGAAAACCCAATCATAGTATTTTTAGGGCTGTAGGGCGATGGGGCTATACGGGGCTATTAGATCATAGGGCCATAGGGCTATAGGAACACAGGGCTATAGGGCTACAAGGCAATAAGGCTATAGGGCGCTAGGCCCATAAGGGCTATAGGGCGATTGGGCTGTAGGGCATAAGGACTTTTGGGCTATAGGGCTATAGGGCTATAGGGCTATTAGGGCTATAGGGCTATAGGGTTACAGGGCTACAGGGCTATAGGTCTATCGGTCTAATAGGGCTATAGAGCTTTTGGGCTACAGGGCGATAGAGCACCCGGGCACCCCGGGGCACCCGGGCACCCAGGGGCACCTCTGGGCACCCCTGGGCACCTCCGGGCACACCCGGGCAGCCGGGCACCCCCGGGCACCCCCAGGCACCCGGGCACCCGGGCACCCCCGGGCACCCGGGCTCCCGGGCGTGCGGCGAAAATCGGCGGCAAACCTAACCTAACCATATGAATCCGGTAGGACCCCTACAGAGGCAAGCTCTGATTCGGGAAGTAAGTACAAACGATTGTCTGGGCACGATGTTTGGAGTATGTTGAACTATGTTTGAGTATGTTGTTGCATATGTTTCACCTTTTCGTCCAACATCCGCCTGTAGGAGGACGTGCCCGACCTTACGGTCACTCCATCGTGCAGGGGTGGACCGAAACGGTGTTTTGGCGATTTCGTGGGCCGTTTTCGTTTCGATGTCGTTTTGCGTCAAAGGCGGATTGAAGACAAAGCGAGGGAGAACGAAAACACAACGAACACGAACAACACCGCTTAGGCTCAGCCCTGCTATCGTGTGCTCAATCAGCGGCGGAGCACCTGCGTGCGGCCCCGCGCTCCTGTCCGCGTCGGCGGGGATCGTGGGCACGCAGCCGGCTGTGCGCGCGCTCGGCCTGCTGTCGGGGGCCAGGGGAGGGCGAAGCATGCAGCACGAGGCGAGCGGTGCGCGCCTGTGTCATGTTCACGGGGGTGGTGCAGGGAGGGGCGGGTGGGTGGAGACGGGGGCGTGGCAGGAGGGAGGGAAGGCGAGAAGAGGGGCGCCCCTAGAAACCCCGAGCACGTCAACTCGTAAGATGAGAAGGAGGAGGAGTAGGGTGCCCAGAAGGAATCGGGCAGGAGTGGGGAAGAAGGGGGGCCAGGGAAGCAGGTGAAGATGGGTCCACAAGTCTGTGGGTTCGCTGCCTCCTCTATCCTCCTTTCCTCCCCCTCCGCTTTCCCTCCATCCTTGGATCCCCCCTCCCTCCCTCGTCTCTGCTCCATCGTCCCTTCCCCCCATCCTCCGTCCTACCTTCCTCCTCTCTCATCATTCCTTGTTCATCGCTCCATCCTCACTCCTCCTTCCCTCTCTCCAGTGCTCCAATGATCCCTCGACTCTCTCGTTCCCTCCTCCCTCCATCCTCCCCCCAACCCATCCCTCGCCCCTTGCCCCCTTGCCTCCTCTCCCTTGGCTTGCGCTTCGGACTCTTGACGGCGTTTCCGATACGGCCGCTCGTGGTCATGGCATGGTGGTTCTTCCATGTCCGTATCTAGTGGGGTGTGAGCGTGCGGACAGTTCCAGACATCCGACGATGCGATTTTGATCAGTCCGCAGCATCAGAGTTCCCGACGCTCTCCCTGAGGAGAGCTTTCCATCCTGGAGCCATCTCTGATGGCCCTGGGCCCGAACACCGCATCCGGAGGCCAACATGACAGGCAACGCCGACAGGATTGAGATTCATCCTTTCGGAGGTCCGAAATCCTCCCCCACCCCTCTCTTTTACCCCGCCTTCTCCCCCACCTCCTCCTCCTCCTCCTCCTCCTCCTCTTCCTCCTCCTCCTCCTCCTCCTCCTCCTCCTCCTCCTCGCCTCCTGCCCCACCCCTTCATCCTTCGGATGTCTGAGATCCTCCCCCTCGCCTCCTCCCCTGCCCGCCCGCCGCCCGGGAGACGGCCTCTTCCTCGTCGGTCGTCCTCGGTCGTCCTCGTCCTCCTCCTCCTCCTCCTCCTCCTCCTCCTCCCTCCTCCTCCTCCCTCCTCCCTCCTCCCTCCTCCTCGTCCTCCTCGTCCTCCTCGTCCTCCTCCTCCTCTTCCTCGTTCCCCTCCTTTCTGACGTTGCACAGACACTGGATCAGATCTCGCTGCGTCCTATCATTCTCATC